GGATGGCGTGGTGGTGTGCCGCAGTGAAGGTGTGTTGTCCGCTACTGTAACATCTTGTTGGGGGGCCATTTTACTGCATATTATCGCAATGCATGAAAGTAACTCCAGCCTCATTGTGACAAACATTTAATGGATAATAAAAGTCGAAAGGCAGCATAATCAAATACAATTCCATCCATGTCGTGAAGATACTTTACGGAATGCTAAGAAAAGTCACTTCCCCCGCTCTGTAATACCAGATCTACTCCAGAAAATATAGTGCCACAGAAGTATGATTTCCATAGATGGTATTTAGTAACAAAATATTGGTTTATTGTGTTAGTAATATTTCTAACAAAATACGTAATCTTCATATAGAATGAATGCAAAACATTTCAATATCTAACATATTATCTATACATCAAGAGATGATCAAAGAACTTAAAGGAGAACTATGGGCTAAGTGTTTTTCTCCATAGTTCTCCTCAGGGTCACGAGAGGACATAAACTAACGTCCTCCCGTGACCCAAAGCTCAGTATACTGCGAGCCGCAGCTCGCGGTATACTGAGACCGCCGCAGTCTGGATGGATCCCGACATTACTGTTGAGATCCACCCAGCTGCGTGATTGACAGCTGGCTCTGCCAATCTAGAGGCAGAGCCAGCTGTACCCACCCCTCCCCCGTTCGTTCCTCCAGTCAGCGCTGGAGGATCGGACAGAGGAGGGGGGTAATCCCTGCAGGGAGCCGTGAGTGACAGTCACGGCTCTCTGCAGGGACAGGATCGAGAAGTGAGCGAGCGATGGTATGTGTTCGCTCACTTCCCGATCTATTGAGCCGACATGTGACAGTTTCATTGTCACACGTCGGCTTGAACTATGAGGTTGAGTGAAAATCACTCACCTCATAGTTCTCCTTTAAGTATACCTGAAAAGGAATACAGTCACAAAAGCTCAAGTATAGACAGGTAGCACTGTCCTTTCCTGTCCTTGTAACGGGAGTAAAGTTGATAGGTAGTAGAAAGCTGGAAACCATGAGAAAATGGTGTCAGTGCTACGCAGCAGGAATACCTACATATAGCAACAAAAAAAAACAGGTTCTAATCCTTCTACACTACACTCTCCAAAAACTGTTTTTTCTAGAACTTAATTTTCTCAAGGTTTTTTTTTTGCTTTAGATCAGGAAGCAGGAAATATTTTCACTGGGGCAGGTTTCCTCATTGGAAGATACTCCTCCTGTTCTGCTAACAGCTGTGCATTTTTGAATTGAATCACTTTCTTTCCTGGTGTGGTAACCAGGACAAACAAAGAGGGAGAATCTCCCACACAGGTTCAAAGACAGAAATAAAGACCTGATACTTCCACTCTCTATCCAACACTAAAAAAGTGAACCTAAGCACCGGCTAGCGGTCCCTCCTGCCTGTCTCCTCCTCTACTCCAGCGTTGGAACGTCCCTCGGCATCCTGACCAAATATCTAACCCTGTTGGCAGAAATGCAGCCCCAGACTTGTAAGGAACCTCCACCATGCTTCACTGTTGCCTGCAGACGCTTATGATTATGCCGCTCTGCAGTGCTTTGGCGAACAAACTGCCTCCTGCCACAGCCAAATATTTCACATTTTGGCTCCTCAGTCCAGAGCACCTGCTATCATTTTTCTGCACTCCAGTTCCTATGTCTCCATGCATAGTTGAGTAGCTTATCCTTGTTTCCACATCAGAGGTACGGCTTTTTGGCCGCAATTCTTCCATGAAGACCACTTCTGACCAGACTTCTCTGGACATTAGATGGGTGTACCTGGGTCCCACTTGTTTCCACCAGTTCGGTGCTGATGGCACTGCTAAACATCTTCTGATGTTGAAGGGAAGTAAGCATGATGTGTCTTTCATCTGCTGCATTAAGTTTCCTTGGCCGACCACAGCATCCACAGTCCGTTTCTTTGTGGTTCTTGAAAAGAGCTTGAACAGCACATCTTGAAACCTCAGTCTGCTTTGAAATCTTTGCCTAGAACAGACCTTACTATGCAATATAACTACCTTGTGTCTTGTTGCTGTGTTCAGTCTTGTCATGCTGTATGACCTGTGACATGAAACTGTCTTCCACAACCTCACCTTAGTAGCAGAGTTTGGTTGTTCCTCACCCTGTTTTAAGCCTCTTACACTTCTGTTTCAGTTAATGACTGTGCTTCAACCTACCTATGAAATTGATGAGCATTAGCACCTGCTTGGTATAATTAGTTAATCATACACCTGACTCTAATCCTGCAAGTGTAAGAATTGATGCTGGTTTAAAACCAAAGGATATTCACACCAAATATTGATTTGATTTAGATTTTTTTTCTGTTCACTCACTTTGCATTTTGTAAATTGATAAAAATAAACAATAAAAACGATATTTTTTAAAGCATTCTTACTTTACAGCTTTTTTTCACACCTGCCTAAACCATTTCCACAGTACTGTACATCAACTGCATACGCCTGCTTCATGTACAGTTGGTGTACATTGCTGGCATATGTTTTTTTTTTTTTTTCAAGTTCTAAAACCTTTGAATTCTATATAAATATTTTTAGTTTTGCACAAAGTAGATGAGTGTCCGGTTGGGGAGATTTCCCATTGTTTCCTATTCCAGAGACACAACCAGAGGTAAGAAGAGGTATCTCCCAAAGCAAAGGGATATCCCATCAAGAGAGTTGTCGCTGCAACACATTTTCCCATTGGAAGTTTTCTCCTCACCTACTCACCTAATCTTTCCACTCATTTCGGTACTAGAGACTGTGGTCAACAGGTCCAATAGTGAAAGTTAATCTTCTCAGCAATACAAACCAGAAAAGGGTTCTTCCACTTCCACATTCTACCCAAAACTTGGCTTAAAGGGTTATTAAACCCTCACGTGTTTGTGCATATATCTACTGCCGGCAAGCAGTAGATATATGCAAAAAGTTAAAAAAAAAACCTTTTGAAAAAAGGTTAAAACTTACCTGTGTCTTCGCCGCGCGCTGCCGTCTGAACATCTGAAGAGTCTCGGGCGGCCGCAAAGGATCTTAGGGCGGGCGCATGCGCACTTCAGATGTTCGGCCAGGAGACGAGGAGAAACACAAGGTAAGTCTATGGAGCAGCGTGCACCCGCACAGACTCCGTGGGATTTCGGAGAAGAGGAGGACAAAAGAGTCAGCGCTGGATCGGAGACCCGCACCAGCACTGGAGGGACATCTGAAAATGACAGTAAGGAAGAAGAAGATGGAGTTAAGAGTCATGATTTAAGGTAAGTTCCTACACTAACATTGGGGGGAGGGGAAAAAATTGCCTTTAATGTCACTTTAAAATTTACATGCAACTAATTTTTTCATAATTGGGTGGACTCTAGCAGGATTACATACCATCCAACTTTGTTTACTCACCCGAGGACGACTGCGGTATGATCTCCACACGTGGTAAGATCTTTCTCCCTCAGCTGCAATGATTGATTTGTTTAAGTGATAACAATAAGTAAAATACATCTTTGTTTTTTATGTTTTTGAAAATCAACCTCCATAGTCATTACAGCAGTGCCACTGGATGCCATTTTTTTGCATTAAAGGAGAACTATGGGGTTAGGGCTTTTCCCCATAGTTCTCCTTAGGGTAACGGGAGGACACAAACTAGCGTCCTCCCGTCACCCTAAGCTCAGTATACCGCGAGCTGAAGCTCGCGGTATACTGAGACGTCGCAGTATACCACGAGCTACAGCTGGCGGTATACTGAGACGCCACAGCTGAAGCGGATCCCGACAATTATGTCTGGATCCGCCCAGCTGCATGAGTGACAGCTGGCTCTGCCTATCTAGAGGCAAAGCCAGCTGTACCCACCCCCTCCCCCGTCCGTTCCGCCAGTCAGCGCTGGAGGATCGGAGCGGGGAATCCAGTCCCTCCCCTGTCACGGCAGAGAGCCGTGACAGTATGGAGAAGTGAGCGAACGCCGGTATGTGTTCGCTCACTTCACGATCTACTGAGCCGACCTGTGACAGTTTCATTGTCACGGGCCAGCTAGTACTATGAGGATGAGTGAAAAACACTCACCTCATAGTTCTCCTTTAAAGCGGATCATGCAGAATATAAGTTTGCCACTGATTGTCATGTCTGAGAATAGGGATAACAGTGGGCTTCTTTTACAATTCATTCATCTCTCTCAACTTTTAAAATAGGAACACATCAGATAGCAGATAACAACATTCTGGAAGTTGATGCTAATTGTCTCATCATTTCACTTGCATATGAAGACTACTTATGAAGGGATGAGCACAACCGGGAGCTTGTCATTTACACAAAATGGTAGTGATGATTGGGAGAATTCAAAGAAATGTTGCCATTATGGCAAAATGCATCAGAGTCAATAGAGAATATTTGTTTTTATGTGTGCAATGGCCATCCTGAAGGTTATAGAAGCTCATAGTTAACCTATTCTGGGCAGGTTTTTGTGCCAAAAAAGCCTCACTTTTAAAAAAAAAAAATTCACAGAAAGAAGAAAACAGTAAAAAAAAAAATGTAAAAAAAAACTAAATGAAAAAAATCAACTACCCCAAATACAATGAAAATTGTAATTTCATGGCAAAATCACATTTCATCAGAAATGACTGTGCTCATTCCTAAAGAACATCTTTAGAAGTTCTGTCCATCCTCAGTGCAGCCAACCAGAAGGACTCAGAAGTGGTAAGAGAGACATGATAAAATAAAATTGCATCAAACCATGGAGAATCCTTTGTGACTCTAGGAATAGATCTCACGGTAACATTTTGCTCTTTTGTGAGGGAACTTAAGAATGCACTTATGAGGAAGCTTTTACAACATAGAAAAATAACAATAACAGACAATAACACAAGTCAGTTATATAAGAATATAAATGGTATAAAAATCATTACAAACAATTCACTAGGATTTGTAATGTAATATGCAATAATCTTATACAAAAATGTATTAAATGAATACAACATAAAATGTCAGAATAGTTATAAACATCTATACAATTCTCAATAAAATGGCTTTTTATGAAAACATATATTCTACATCTGGCAGCATGTTTACTGGTGCCCTGCAGTAAGTGTGCCCAGCTTGCTGTTTTCTGCATTAGTAGATATGTAAGAAATAGAGGACATCTACAAAAAAGAAGCTTTGACTTTCCGTCCTCGGAGTGGCTGCACCGGACGATGATTTCTCTCAATGTAGCATGATTCAGTTCCACCACTACTGGTGCTCAACAGGCTGCGGAACTTGGAGAGCTGGGGAAAAAAATAGTTTTAATTCAGGTTACTAGACGTCTTTAAATGGAAACTTTGATCATCTGTGGTCAGTTGTATTTATTGTTTTATTGTATACATTTTTATTCATGGAGACTGCACCCTTGACAATGATAAACAGAGCATTATGGGCTTTCAAAAGAGAGTAGGTAGGGAAGGAGGTTGCTCATTCAGCTGTGTGTGTAATGTAAACTTCAGCTACTGAGGTATTTAAAGAACAGGTTTTTTTTCTAGCAAAGAACTTAGATTCCAGCTTTAGTCAAATTGTTTATTTTATTTTGGATGCAACAGGTTGAGAGAAGGTTTTTATTGCTGACTAACACATGATAATGCATGTGCGTTAAATGCACTGCAGCTGACTACTATAGTGTGAATGGGCCCTTACTTACTCTGTCGGCTCCACGTCACATGATCTGTAGCAGTTACATGGTTAAACTAAGCTGAGTCTATTGAAGTGACACTAAACTCAGGAGTTAAATCTTGGAAATCAAGTACCCTAACTATTAACAAATATATATCTTATATGTGTGTCACTCAGCTGTAGATCCTCAAATCATCTCTGAATTGGTGCTGACACTGTCCTTCCTTCTGGAGAGGGGATACTTTTGTTCCCCATGGTACATGTATGTGTTCAGGTGTGTGAAATTAAAATAAAAAATAAAAAACTTACTCGTCCAAGGACTAAGGTCGGGGCCCAATCTACTTGTCTCTCATAACAATCTACTTGTCTCTCATGAAAATCTACGTACTTGTCCTGATGCAAAAAATGATCTTAACACGAACTGTTAAGATTGCGAGTGAAATTTAGAATACATGGCACAGGGCAGCACTGGAAAGCAGTATGGGGTAAAGATAGTACACCCGTACTGGTGGATGGAAAGGACTGTTCGCTGAAAGGTAAGTACAGCGGGGGGAGGGGTCCAGATTTGAGCGAGTAATTCCATTTTCCTAAGTTACTTGGGAAACTGAACTTACTTACTTTATTGTACACTGTGTGTGTGTTAACCCCTTCATGACAGAGGCCTTTTTTTCATTTTTTGCACCCATGTTATATTCCACATTTTAGGCCTGAAAATTACTTAAAACCCCCCAACATTATATATTTTCTGAATGCCAAGACCCTATAGAATAAAATGGTGGTAGTTGCAAATTTTTATGTTGCGCAATATTAGCGCAACTCCTTATTAAACCCCAATATTTAGTGAAAAATGTAATTAAATGCCCCAAAACACAACAAAATACCCATTTTTTTAATGAAATATAAAAGATGAGGCTACAACGAGTAAAACGATACCCAACATGCCCAGGTTACAAATTGTGTGCATCCGTAAAACGGCGAAAAACCCCAGTACCCCAAAAAGTCCATAGAAGACGCTTTAAAACCCCCCACAGGTCATCAATTTAGAGATACCCCAAAATACTGGCCCTAGAATTATTGCTCTCACTCCGGCGTGCGCGGCGATACCCAACATGTGTAGCGCGTTCGTCGTTTTCATACGTAGGCGCACCCGACGCGTGTTTACGTGGCGACGCGCGTGCTCGCGGGGGCGGGGGACTTTAACAAATTTTTTTTATTATTATTAGATTTCTTTTATTTACATTTTATGTAAAACTGTAAATGAAAAACAAGTTTGTTTAGCTAATGAATGTAAGATGATTTCCTATCAGCATGCAGAGCTGCAGGATAGCAGGGGCAGCAGGGTTAGTTGTATTTTTTTGGGGTTTCTTTATTATTTTGTTTTACTTTTTTATCACTTTTTTATTTTTTTAAATGTATTTACTTTTTAAAATTTTTATTTATCTTATTATCTTTTACTTTATTTTTTACATTTAATTTTTTACCTTTTTATCACTTTTTTTATTTTTATTTACTTTATATTTATGTTATTACTTTTTACTTTTTTAAACATTTCTATTTACTTTATTATATTTTGTTTACTTTTTTACCACTTTTTTATACTTGAATGTATTTTTAAGATTTAACTCCTGAGTTTAGTGTCACTTTAATTGCTCACCATGGACAGACATGCAGTGTAATCTTTGTCTGCTGCGTTTGATATCGCTATATCAAAGTTGTTGTGAATCCTTTTGCCTGACTAAACCATTATCCCAACCTTTAGACAGCCTGACAGGCCTGTAATACAGTATGGCAATAAGGCTTTGATGCAGCGGAGTATATTAACTCATAAGATGGTGGGGGTACAATGTGATTGCATCTCAGAACATTATAAAACAAGGGCAGCTTCAATCAAGCATCATCCTTCTGTATGGACCATGATTGTGTCAAATCTAGCAATACGTCACACTTACCTGTCTGGAGCTGATAGTTATGGGCTCCTTTAAAATTATCCATATAACACTCTCTAGCAGTGGTGGAACAGTAAGTGACCCTTGGTAGGTCCAGAAATCCTTGCAGTCAGGAAGTAGTCTTGAAGGGTCATAGTTTGTAAAGGAAGACTGCTTGCCCTATGAAATAGACATGCTGTCATTTTTTACCAAATATACATAAAATATCATTGCTTACAACTTAGCATAAGGTTTATCATACTTTAAGTAACTCTTGCAGTGGGGCTACCACCCCACTGCAAGAGTTAACTGCTCATTTTGATCTAGGGTTGAAAATAACAAAGTTATACTCACCTGATCCTCAGAGCCAACTTGCTGTTACATCCCTCCTTTCAGCATCTCTCCCCCCTGAGGACGTTGAGGGACATGTCATCGCTGCTGGAGAAAGGCTGGAGGGAGTGATGTGACAGCCTGCTCCAAAGTTCAGGTGAGTAGAACTTTTTTATTTTAGCCCCTAGGCGAAAACGAGCAGTTAACCGTTGCAATGTGGGGGTAATCACACTGCAAGGGTGAATATTTTTCCCCGGAGTTTCTCTTTAACTCACACGCCACTGAGCATTGCTGTAATGAATAGTAATTGCTGGCGGAAGTCTCTTTAGAAACGGACACTGTCCATCACAATTTTTGATCATTAGGGAAGTGTGGGATCAAGCTCAACTTTTAAGGTGGCCATTTGTATGCGAATTTCGTCCGGTTCTTTAGGAACCAGATGAAATTCCCACAGTGGTTGACGCTGTCGGTACCCTTTTAGCCGGCATCCCTTGATCAGCTGATTGAAGGAGCTGGTTGGAAAATCTTTGAATGAACAGAGCCAGCAGCCAATGAGTTACCATCTCTGTTCTACTATTCTGACAGTGGCCACGGGGATGCCTTGATCAGCGGGGATTTCTTGATCGATTAACTTGTAGCATTGATGGAGGAATCTGCTCTATAAAGCTGGCAATACACTGCTCTATTTTTTCATTTAACCTGCAGGCTGAACAAAAAAAAGAGAGAGCAGTGTATGGCCAGATTTACAAAAAAATACAGGAGTGATAACCTAGCAGGCGGTTCATCTGGTAAGGGAATTTTCCTTCAGTTTGGTGAATGTGGTGAAATTTCACTTGCAAAAAATACCTAATGAAGTGCAAGGGGAAAAAACAGCGTTTTTCTTGCACATGATTGGATGATAGATGTCAAGGGGAAACTTCCCATGCAAAGTGCAAAGTATGGTAGAAGTGATATTATACATCCCAAAATATGAATAAAAAATGTAGATCCTCCGATGACATCTACCGTGTTTCTCCGAAAATAAGACAGTGTGTTATATTTTTTTTGGCTCAAAAAAACACACTAGGTCTTACTTTCGGGGTAGGTCTTTTTTAATGTACAACAATCTAAACTTATTCATGTAGAAAAGTCTATATGTATTCATGTACACAAATATGGTGATCAGGGCAATCAGGGGTGCCGTACCTTTCCAAGAGCAATTTGCTAACCAATCGCTGGCCAGAATGAGCGAAGCGCACTTTCACTATCGATTCCTCACAGGCGGAGTGCATTTGGTATCACTCCGCCTGTGGCAGGAGCCGGCGCTATAGAGGAGGCATCGGCTTATGCGGCTCTGCTCCCTTTCGGTGCCGCCTCGCTTCCTCTAGTGCTGGCTTCGTTGGCACCGCTGATTCTCTCCCGTGGCTCTTCAAGTGGCTCTTCCCACCGGCCCTGGGAATGGTCACAACTAGGTCTTATTTTCGGGGTAGGTCTTATTTTCGGGGAAACATGGTATTATACAGCCCCAGAACAGCTTCTATATGTACATCACAGTAACATACCTTAGTATTAATGGCATCAAATGCATCTGTAATTCTCTCCAGGTTTGCGTTGTGTTCACCAATCTGAACAAAATAGAAATAAACATATATATATAAAAAAATATGAATATTTTCATCTGTGGATTTAAGGGCAACTATACAGAAAGAAGTCTTATACCATTATACCTAATGTAATTCATATATACTTTACGTGGAAGTTCCAGGAATGTATTAACAGCTCAATGTATGTAAGCCTTTGACTGTCAAGGGTGTATATAGTGTATTATGGCACTTACGATATGGCTATCATGATAAAGTAGTGTTACAACTCTACAACTTATTTTCAATAATTAATCCATATTAAACAAATATACATTGCCTGGCAAATTTTTTCTTTACATTTTTGCCCTAGCACTAGTAGTAGTAGTTATCATGTTTCTAAACAGTTGGCTCCAACTCTCTCAGCTCAACTTCACTGAACGTCCTGTCCAGTTCAAGATTACAAGAGAGATCACAGTCTCCAGACGCTGTCCAACTACTAGCTTGGAGAAGAGAGAAGGAAGGAGGGTGCAAGGGGCAGGGGAGTAGCTTGCCCTTGCTGTGCCAGTATGTTTGTGCAGACACACACTGCTTACAAGCACCCACAAGGGTGGCTCCATAGGGCCCTGCAAGGGAAAGGAGCCACCCTAAAACAGGATATCAGGGCCAGTGATCAGGGGACCAGCTGATTCTTCAGGAAGATAAAACTTTTAAACATCAAGGAGCAGAATCCATTATAAGGGATTTAATCAGCATTTGAAATAGCTTAAAAACCTTTTGACCTTAAAACCACTTTAAATAATGCTCATGGCTGATTATGTTTTAACATTTTCCTGCCAGCTTTTCTTTGTATAAAAAGTAATGTGAAACTTGGAAAACCATCATATCAATTCTACACTGTTGGAAGTGTTTGCCAGCTTGTTGCTTGCTGGGAGTGTGCAACCCCCTCCCCCCCTACATTCTATGAATCACAGTGCTCCTCTTAGAAGCCAGGAACTTTAGGATAGTGGGAAATCTACCCTGCTTTCTTTTAACACATGAGCATTTAGTTCTCAGTAGTCCTGGGTTCATAGAGCCACTCTAAGGCCTGGTTAACACCTAAGTGACAGCGTTTTTGCACGTTTTAGCATGTTTTTTGTGCATACGGCAAAAAGCACATTTTTGTGAGCAAATTGTTGCTCTTTGATGTTAATGAGTAAAAATCTTTATGCATAAAAACAGCAAACGGGCGTTTTCAAGAGTTTTCTATTGCGTCTATGGGGCCAAAACGAGCTGTAGTATGAGAAAAAAAAGCTCCTGTACTTTTTCCAGCAACAGGCATTTTGCTTATTGCTACAAAACGCTCAGATGTGAACAGGGCCATAGAAATGAATGGAATTTTTTGGGGGGCAGATTTTGGGAGCGTTTTTTAGGGCAGAAAAAGTGCTACAAAACGCTGTGTGAGCCAAGACCAATGGCTCGGAGAGCCATGGGAACTACATATCAGTGACTCTCATTTCCTTATCTGAATTCTCTGAACACAGAGGACTCTACTAAGACCTTAGCTGTCTTAAAAAGAAAAAAAACTCTGGCAGTTTATACACTGTCTCATAGGGGGCATGTCAGTTAGAAAAAAAGTTAAATATATACAGTAATACCTTGGTTTACAAGTAACTTGGTTTGAGAGTGTTTTGCAAGACAAGCAAACATTTTTGAAAAAATTTGCCTTGATATACAAGCAATGACTTGCAATAAGAGCAAAATTTTGTAGAAAAGCACCACCTGAATAAGGCTGTTGCAGTGCGAGTGATGAGTCTGTTTAACAACAATGCAATGTCACATTGGATATATTCCTTGTTAAGGTTTCACGAAATGAAAAAGATTCCATTGAGTCAAGAGACAGTATGGATCCCCGCCTCCTCACCTATGACTAAGGCCACTCAAGTTCCTCTACACCAACACTGGCCACCTGAGAGTGCGCACTGGCCACCTGAGAGCTCACACTGACCACCGGAGAGGCCACACTGACCACCTGGGAGACCTAACTGGCCACATGAGAGCCTGCACTGCGCACCTGAGAGCCTGCACAGCACTCCTGAGATCCTGGTGACATCAGGCCGTGAACCCAGAGCAACATAGAGTATGTAGCTTTATATTATTCTGCATTGTGGTATAGTGTATTGCTGGGATTTGTAGTCCTCTATAGCTAGTGCCATTCTGCATTGCTGTATAATTTATTGCTGGGATTTGTAGTCCTCTGTAGTTGGCAGTGGTATTCAGCATTGCTGGTTTGCTGTAAAATGTATTCCTGGGATTTGTAGTCCTGTACAGCTGGTGGTATTTTGCATTCCTGTATAATGATTTTACAGCAAAGCAGAATACCACCGGCTACACAGGACTACAAATCCCAGCAATACATTACATTATACAGTAGGGATGCACCACTACCAGTATCGGTATTGATGGCAATATTGGGCATTTTAAATTTTTTAACTGAAGTGGCTGTCTGAGGTCCTGTGCTGAGGTCCCGCGCCTGTTTACAGCGTTGACTGCACAACTCCCCCTCCTTCCTGGGAAACCACACCATCCGCACCCACCAGCAAGAACTTGCACAGCCCTGGTGAGACCCCCCTCAGCCTCCCGAGACCCCATACAGCCTTCCTGAGACCCCGCACAGCCGTCCTGAGACCGCCCGCGCAGCCCGCTGAGACCATGCACAGCCTCCTAAGACCCCGCAGAGCGTCCTGAGACCCTGCACAACCCCCTAAGACCTTGCACAGCCTCTTGGCAGTTCTGTAAGCAACACCTTTTTTTCTGGAAGTGCCCCTCCGGAGACTAGACTCTGGATCCACCCCTGGTATGCTGCAGCATTAACAGTACCATTCACTACAAACAGTTAAACTAAATATTTTGTGGTGGAGGAGTACACTGAAATTACCGGACTCATGTTGGTCTATAGGGAATCAAATGTAAATGGACTTTTGTCCGTTTACATCAGATTACCCTCGATCCAGCATGATCAGTTCCTGGCGAAATTGACCTGGCAGGAGCCAGGGTAACCGGATGTAAACGAACGTCCGTCTGTTTATATCCAGCTGCCCATAGACTAACATTGGGCTTCTGATCAGTTCTGGCTGAAAAAAATGACCTGATCGGAAGGCCTGTGTCAAAGGACTCAAAAACCAAAATTACTGGACCCATGGTGGTCTATGGGCAATTGGATATAAGTGGACATGTGTCCCTTTACATCAGATTACCCCTGAACCGGCATGATCAGGTCTATTGAAACGGAACTCTGATCTGTGTGTGTATATACACTACTGGTCAAAAGTTTAAGAACACCCCCATTTTCCAGTTTAATGTCCCAGTGTACTCTGAAAATAAAGCATATAACAAATAAACAATTGGACATCCAAAAGAAATCATGCAATAATTTTCTTTAATGAAATGTAATCTAAATTTTTGACTCATCAAAGTGACCACCTTTTGCAGATATAACAGCTGAACACAGTCATTCTACAACAAAAATCAAATAATAGTAAAAAAAAAACCCAGACCATCACGCTACGTCCTCCATGCTTGACAGTTGGTGTCACACGCCAAAGGATCTTTTTGCCTACTCCACAGCATATAAAGCCCTGCTGAAGATCTAAAATTTTTATTAATTGGTCCATGAGACCTTCTGCCAGCCTTCAGTAGTCCACTGGTGGTGCTTCATGGCCCAGGCAAGCATCTTTTTCTTATTTTGCCAACTTAGCAATGGCTTTCTTACTGACACTTCATCTTTAAAACCTGCAGCTCAAAAAACTTGTCTTCTGACTCTGTTGTGGCTTTCGGTCTGCCAGACCTCTTCCTGTCAGAGTTTCCTCCAATTTCCAAGTGCCTTTTGATGGTGTAGGAAAGTGTAATCACTGACACCTTGGCTTTCTTTGCAATTTCTCCAAAGGAAAGACCTACACTTTTAAGGGTTATAATGGTCTGCTTGTCTTCCTTTGTTAAATGTTGTTCCTTTGTGAAATCGCCATTTTGAGAGCAATATATTACTTCCTGCAGTACAATACTGTCTAAATATTGCTTAAGAGGGTGTAGTAACACAGTCTGTTCCAACCCCGCTTTTATACAGACAGAGGGATCAACAAAAGTTGAAACACCTGTAGGAATTGTTAGCATAAACTTTCAAGGCTTAATTTACTTACATTGCTGCAGAACAACTGTCAGTTGTTAACCCATTACTTCTTCCCGGAATAAGGCCTTTTTGTATAACTCTGAAATGTACATTATTTTTAAATTTTTGTAACTTAAACCTCTTTTTTTTACTTCTTGCAGTTTACCGCTTACCTTTGTACCATTTCAAGTTATTCACTGGACTTGAACTACTTACATTTCAATACAAACTAGAAAAATGGGGGTGTTTGAAAATTTGTGACCTGTAGTGTATACATTATGTCCCTCTAGTCCTTCAAGTGGTTAACCTGTACATTTTCATATATAATACAGTAACAAAAATATGGAAGAGCAAGCATTTTAAAAGGTAACTCACCAAAAATGATGTTAAGGCAGACACTGCAATAATATATGCTCAGTTAGCATGTATAGATATCATCTTTAACTTTTAGAAATATTCTGATTAAGTTTAGCCTGATAATTCCTGATGGATGTTCAGGAATCAGGCTCAAAGTCCTGAAAGAGAATGTGTAGGTTTTCTTTTATATTTATATAGTGGTATAGTATAACCTGTTAAAAAGAATAAATAGGTTTTCTTTTTATGCAGCAGCCTGTGTATTCTTAAAGCATACTTTTAGAGTGGCCCCTTGTGAATTCACACACCTCCGTCGCCATGAAAGAGAACACTTTGGCTGTTTTCGGCATGCCTTCTCCGTACATACCACTGCACCATGCTTCAACAGACCACAGTGCCTTTGTAGGAGAACAATTTTGTTATGAGTGCCTGAGATACAACATTTGGACATTGTACCTCCTGCTGCTTCAGCAAAAGTTTTTTAGTTGAAGGTGCATCATACCTTTAAAAACACTGCCACAACACCCAGCCCATCTGGTTTATAAGCCGCATCGACAAAACTCGGATACTTTTCTGAGTTCCAGTGGACAAAGTGCAGCTGTAAGGTACAAAATAATTAAATTGTTTATATATATATTGTGTATAATGATTTCTAATTTCTTTAATTAGCTAGTCAGTTGTTTATTTGTAATTTGCACTATTCAAAGTGTCAGTGACATTGTTGCACTATATATGGGCACTAGAAGTGCTTTCTGGATCTCTATATATTTGTTTGAAAACTTTTGAGTCAACAGGAATGTGTGTCATACAACCGACACACATTCCCACAAAGTAGACTCTGTAGATAGAATGGATGTAATATCTGTACATGCGTTAGATTATCCAGCAAAATCAATTTATTTATCTCAAAGTGCCAGCGCTGAAAATAAGTATAGTATTGTATTGCAGTTTGGGCGCTGGGCTTTAAAAAACATTCAACATCACTGCCTTAGGCAAAATAGGGAAACACACATATTCAAACAGTTATACACTCAATAAAACACACATCACACACTCATTGTAAAAAGAAACCACACATACATAGATATCAAACACATTAAAAACACACGCACACATCGCACACGTAATGAAACACACACATTAAAACACACACATCAAAAAAACACACATTATCAAAAATATTTTTAATTTAGTTTTTTTTTTACTCTTAGGGGGGCTTCGGGAAATATTAGAGGTCTAAACAGCCCCCTGATATTTCCTTTTTAAAATAGAAAAAGAAATTGAGGACACAAAGTCATCAATCTCTTTTTTTGCAGCCTCTGTTCTAAATGAATGGAAAGCACAGAGGCTTCCCATTCATTAAGAAAATATTTACTATCAAGCAGTTTCTGAATGGGGAGGAGCCTCTGTACAGAGTGCTTCTCCCCATTGAGAAATTCATGAATGAACAGGAGGTGATGTAAATCACGTTCTGTTCATTCATAACTGGGAACACATAGTACTATGTGTCCCCGGTTATTTACAAACACTGGAGTGATCAGCTGATCGCTCCAGTGTTTGTCCTGCACAGAGGTCTGGTACATATCACTGATATGTACCAGACGGAGGACGGAGCATGTGCGGTGAGGAGAGAGCCGCCGGCTGTCAGATCCAGGCCGAGCGGCTCTCTCTCTCTCCTCACCGCTCGGCGTGCTGCTGATGATAGCGGCTCCGACCCCCAGAATCTGGGCACCTGCCAGGTTTATAGATGGCTGGAGTGTGCGGGTCACTGTAACCGGGACCTAGGCTCGCGTGCCACCAGAGGGGCCTCTGCGTGCCCTCTGTGGCAAGCGTGCCATAGGTTCGCCACCGCTGGCATATACTGTACGTGTGTCCCAGGTTCAGGTTGTATGCAGATTTTTTCCACTAGAGGGAGTGCTGGGAGTGCTGGAATGGTAGAGGTAATGAGCCCAACTGAAGTAAGCTGGCTCATTAGGCCTCTAAAAGAACTCCCAGACTGCTCAGAGATTTTCTCCACCCTGGAACCAGTTTTATGCCTGAGTAGACTGGGAGGCTTTCTACCTACCTGTGTGGTGACAAAGAAAAACAAAACAAAACAAAAAAAACTTGTGTGGTGAGACACAGCCTGTGTGGCAGTTTATTGAATAGGGAGATAGGTGCTAGGGGCTGCACAAGGTTGCACCTAGTTGTTAGTGAGGGAAACAGTGTGTGTAGTAAGTGGCCAAAAGGCAAAGATTTCTTTTCATGTCTTGTTTGTTTTGCTCAATTTTTTCTTGTAAATAAGTATGTTTTCACCTGAAATCGTTGTTTGCTGTGCCTAATTTCTGTGGTGTGAACTCATCCAGGGAGTCCCACACACCCGCTCCCGAGCTAACACCCTCACAGCACATACAAAACAAATGTGCCCTGTTTACACCACAACACTACCTTGAGGTGGGTTGCAGTATAGAGCAAAAAAATGTGGACATGCTGCATTTTTCCTCAGCTCTCCTCATGTCTGGTCACCGTGCCACACTTAAGCTGCAGTGACTACAAATGAATGAAATGCCACTTTGACATCTCAATAAAGTTTAAGCACAATAAAAAAGTTGTAACAACGTCACCCTCCAGTCCACACATCATGCACCAGCTCATACGCTATAACGGATGCTTTTCGCTTGAGGGCTGGTGTGAACAAGCTTTAATTGGTGAGTAACGCTAAGTAACGACAGCAAATTAGGAGAAATCCCTGCAAAAGGGACACATATGACTAAGGGCCTGTTCACACGACGTCCGTTTTCTGTGCTGACCTGATCCGTACGCTCCTGCACTAAAAATGCATCCCAATGTATCCCTATGTGTTTTATGGGCTACAGTTCTCACGTGCGCAGTCCGTTCAGGTTACGACAGAAAAAATACTGCATGTCACATTTTGTACGGTCAGGGAACCTTCCGGAAACGCAAAAACGCGTCAAAAACGCACTGCACTGCAGCTAACATACTGACAGCCCCACTCCAGCAAAAAAGAAAATGATTTTTTTTTTTTAATTAACTGGAACGCATCAAAAATGTGGCAAAACACATAGCATCTGCGTCTGCAGATCCAGACCTGATCAGGACATGAAACTCATGTTAACAACTACCACTCCTCCTCACTCCCTATACCCCTCTCTGCATTTTAATAAAGTAAGGTGTACATATACCTTAAATGCAGGTACCTCTCATGATGAATGGGGTCCTTTTTCCCCATCATTGGTTTATGACGGTCCTCAGTGTTTTATAGAATAGTGCTAACATGACATCCTGGGGTCCTCTTCCTCTTCTCCCCACCTGTCTGCAGTCCTCTGTGCTGCAGAGAATAGTGCTCAGGTAGTGACGTGAGCATTTTCGTCTGCAGCATGCTATTGTGAGCCCAAGCTGCATCATGACTCTCCCCCAGTGAGTATATTTCCATGACAGTCTGGGCCCATAGGAAGTAGGATGAAAGAAGCTGGCTGTCATTCAACATAGTAGAGGACTGGGGGCCAGCAGCACAGGAGACAAAGTATAAAGCTAAATTACATGTATAAATTATTATACATACTTAGAATGGTCCAGCTTGGCCCAGTGTAAGTATGTACATACGATGCCTGATCAGCCCATGGGGATCCTGTAAAACACTGTAGTAGCTGGAGCTTCTACAGTGCCTTACAGCAATCTTCTGAGTCCTGTATGGTGCTAAGCTGAGCAGCTTCCCCACTGCTCAAGAAGAACAGGGGGTTGCTTACTCCGCACAGCAGTCATTTAGAGAATGCCTAGTATTTTTTATGAATAAATACAAAGCATTCCCTTATTGGACGAGGGGTAGATCATGATGTCACCACCTCTAGTCCTATCAGAGAATGCCTTGTATCCATTGAATACTAGGCATTGTCTGAATAGCTTTTGTGATGAGTAAGCAACCCCCTGTGTTTCTACAGCAGGGGGGAAGCTGCTCAGCACAGTACCAGGACCCGGAAGATCGCGTTAAGCATAATACCTTATACCAGGGGTGTCCTGAGGTCGGGTGTCACCTGGTCGTCTTCGCGCGTGACGTCACCTCGTGCGTGCGTGATGACGTCATCGCACACGCACGACCATCCAATGATGATCTTGGTGATGGACGCCGGCAGAGAGGGGAGGGGACCTTCACCCGGCGGGATGAGGTATGCCGCCGGGTCCTCTCCTCTCTCCTGACACTGTCGGGCTCTCGGTCCATGACCGAGTGCCGACTTTTTAGAGGGGGGTGACACCAAAATGACTGTCAGTCATTTGCAATGGTGACACCCAGGTGCGGGCCGCACCCCCCGCAACCCCCTTGTGATGGCACTGCCTTATACCTGGAGTTCAGTTTTAAGCTTGCAGAACCATGGACCCATTATTTTCTTACCTCAGCTGCATAGTCTGTTCCATCCACCTTATGTTCGGCTCCATAGTCATCACAAGGCCCCCAGTGAAAATGCAGCTGGCGAAGCCTATAAGTTCCTTGAAGTGGTCCACCCCTCAAAACTAAAATGAAATGATGAAACATATGTTTTCACTACACATTTATATATTTGTAAAGATAACCTTTATAGTTAAAATATATGCAAACCCAATCACTAAAATGTCATATAAGATTCAACATGTTAATGTCATTTCAAAATAATTTCCAGTATTTAAAAAAAATCTGGATCTTTGATTAAAATACAACCAGGTGACCCTGCCATGAAGATCCTTGTTTAGGCATTTGTTGTTATAGGATTACATTGCTTTGCCCGTGTATCTCCTGTAGTCAGTTTTTGGCCAGCCATCTGAAACGCAGCGCACACAGGAGAAAAAGATTGCCCACCTGGCCTGACGTGGTTTCAAGCGTTTGGGATTTTGCAGGTACTCTAGGTTTTTGTGATCTGTGAAGACCATGACAGGATGGGACGCACCTTCAAGCCCCCCATGTGATAGCATATTGGTGGTGACAGGTACCCTTTAAGGTGATACTGGGGGTCCAAAAGACTCCAAGGCGAGGCAATCCAGCCCCTCGCCTGTCACGGCAGAGAGGATCGAGAGGTGAGCGAACGCAGGTATGTGTTCGCTCACCTCCCGATCTACTGAGCCGACCTGTGACAGTCTCATTGTCACAGGTCGGCTAGAACTATGAGGTGAGTGAAAAGCACTCACCTCATAGCTCTCCTTTAAAGAACATTTTCCACCTACAATGGCTTGCTATACGCACAGAAAAGCAATGTGTCCCTGGAAATTTTGGGGGAAATGCTAGGAACTATGCTAGTATGACCTGCAGTGTCAAGTGTATGACCTGCAGTGACATTGTTCCACGTAACTTACGTCTGCTAAACTGTTAGAAGTTTGCATTATTTCTGTGTGTTCAACATCAGCTCTGCAGCTCTGCACCTTCTTCATGTGTGACTGATTTGTTTTAAGTGTATTTACAGAGCCTAGTAAAAAACATTTATCCAAATCTAGCATAATATTTCTTAACTGCATTGATAGCGATGCTCCACTAATGCTGTAGAATATGGTGATATTTTACAAATATTATATACGCCTAGAACAGTGGTGGCGAACCTATGGCACGCGTGCCAGGGAGGGCACGCGAGGCCCTTTCTGCTGGCACGCGAGCCAAGGTTCAGGCACCACAACATTAAGGCAGCCGAGCTGTCTAATGTCGGCAGGCGGGCGAGCGAGCGAGCGCGCAAGAGGAGAAGGGGGACGGAGCGGCAGGGGGTGGAGACAGAGGGAGATTGAGCTGCATGAGACAGGGGGCGGAGACAGAGTGAGATCGAGGATGCGATGAAGAGACGGGGACGGAGCGGCATGAGACAGGGGGCGGAGACAGGGGGAGATGAGGCAAGACTGAGGCAAAGGCAGAGACCGCGATGGAGGAGGCGTCACCAAGGGGCCAGTCAAGCGGCGAAGCTGAGACGATTGGGCGCCGAGCAGTGAAGCAGTGAAGGCTGGGCTTCCCGTGTAAGGTAGGAGCACTGTGCTGGCAGGGCCCAGCATACATTATGCACAGCCCACCAAAGAGTCACAGGGGGGCTGTGTAATACCTTTTAGTGGGCTTTGCAGGATCCATGGGGGCTCTGCAGCCTGCAAAGTCCACCACAGCCCCCCTGAGATCTGGCAGACTGTGGGGTCTCTGCAGGATCTGTGACTGACAGGTCACGCAAAAAGTATTAAACAGGAAGGAGTGGGGTAAATTTAGTTTTGCCTTGCCTAGGGCAGCCCCAATACACCACTGCGTTCAGGGACCACCAATTGAAATAGATCCGACTGACCCGGATCGCCTTGGTATGCGATCCGGGCCAGTCACAATTAGGCAGCGGCAGCCAATAAACAGGTAGGTTAGACGGCTGCTTCCTCCTCGCTAGGACCCCGGGAGGCCCCTGCAAGCGGCCGTCTAATCTGCCTGTTTAGAGGTCAGCGCCGCTGCCTGATTGTGACCGGCCGGACTACAGAGGCGATC